GTTACAGAAAACCCTTGTGTAACCAGTGGCCGAAACACAAAGGAAGCTTATCTCACAAATGTAAATAAATCCATGAGTATCCCTTAGTCATCAAAGACGTAGGCTTCTCCTCTCTTTCTACCCCACCATCCTCAGGAAGTGGCTTTCATTTCCAAGTTTGCCTCATGGTCCAAAATAGCTGCTGGGTTCCAGCCATTGTATCTGTATTCCAGGTAGCCAGAGGGGGAAAATAACATCCCCACCGACTGAATCCAGCTCCCATTAAGCCAATTTCCTAAAGGGCTGCATACTATTTCTGCTTACATTTGGACTGACCATAGTTCTCAACTGTTCAGCATCAGAATCCAGGAGAGATTGTTAAAACAGAGGTGAACGGGCCCCACCTCCATCCTTGCAGACTCCATGGTCTGGGCTGGGGCCCAAGAATGTGCGTTTGTAACCAGCTTCCCGGCGATGCTTCTGGGTCCGGCACCACACTCTGAGAGCCATTGTCCCAGATCTTCGTCACTCGTAGCTGCAAAGGAACCTGGGAAGTTTAGTCTTTGAGCTGGGTACCCCTCCACTGCACCCCCCAAAAAGCCCCGGCTCGGTTACTGAGGAAAAGGGAGAGAATCCGCACTGAGTTGGCAGCCAGCTGCTCCTTGCTGCAACAGCCTGAGTCTTTATTTCCTGCAAACCCAGTAGCTTTATTTCTGGTGCCCCGGCCTCTTCCGGGCCACCTCTGGGACTCGGAGACCTTCGTCATTGCTGCGTAGACCCAGAGCAGCCACCTGCTCTGGCCTCTTCAGAGGCGCCACCCTGGACACTTGTCTCCCTGTCTGAGAGTCCAAAGTCAGCTTCCTTCCGCCAAGGAGAGGAGGGGACTTTCTGCTCGGGGGGGATGGGTGCGCGGGACCCCCTTTGTCTCTGCTGGTGTTGGTCAGGGTGCTTTGGCTGTGTGTGAACCTGCTCCCCTCTTGGAAGGGGGGACGTGCTTGCCTCCTTCCTGCTCCTCCCCCTCCAGACTCAGGGCTGCTTTCCAGGCCCCGGGGGAGGGAGGGGAGGACCCCCGGGGGGGCGGCCAGAGTGCTCTCTGTTGCAGTGTCCTTCTGCAGAGCTGGCTTCCCCGTGGGTGCAGGCAGGGACTGGGGGAGCTCTTCCCCTCCGCGTCAGGAAGGGGCCTTTATCACTCCCTCCCAGGAAGGCCAGTCCGAGACCCCCGCTCCCGAGGGGCCTGCACCAGCCCACACTCCCCCCGGCTGCACAGCCTGGGGCTCAGGTTCCGGGCCCGGAGGCCACGGCGAGCCCCGCTCCCGCCGCCCCCCGCAGAGCCCTGCAGCCGGCGCCTCCTGATCGACCGGGAAGTTTAATTAAATGACTCCTGCATCGACTTCCGCGCGACGCTAAATTAGCTTCCAAATGAGTGACCGTCGGGCGCGCCGTTCCCGAGGGCCGAGAGAGAGCAGCGGTGTGGGGACGGGGACGTTGAGACTGCGGTCCAGGGTTGTGGCTCTCGGGCCCCGCTTCCGGACTGAGGACAGCGGGGCCGGTGGTTCTGGAGTGGCCACGTCCGTGCCGGGCACTGAGCGGGGGGCGTCCTCGTGGGCTCTCTCATCCGTTCCCAGAGGGCCCCTCGGGGGTGGGCGCGCCCACTGCTCCGATGGCGACCCCAGGCCCAGAGCGGGTGGGGCTGGGGGCCACGGAGCAGGGTGCAGGCGGCGGACGGGCTGCCCGAGGCCTCCAGGATCTCGGCCCCAGGGGCCAGCGGCCGGGCCCTCCCGTCCCTAGGACCCGACAGGCCCTCCAAGGTCAGGCCCAGCTTCTGCACCCCACCCACGGCCAGGCCCCCCTGTGGGTGCTGCTTCTGCGGTGCTGGCCCCCGTCTGTGACCTGTCGCCCTGCCCGTAATGGGGGAAAGCTGGAGGGCACCACCCAGCCCAGATGCGGCTCACCCCGCGGCTCGGTGGGCGGCCACAGTTCCTCACCGTCTGGCGTCTCCAGCGCCACACGGCTCGTCATGGCGGCTGGGGCTCCTCCTCAGTGGTGACAACGCCAGGGCCAGTCCCCTGACCCATGCCACCCTTGGCGGTTGTCCTCTCTCTCCTGCCCCAGGTCCCCAGACACGCGCCCTCTGAGTCCCCGAGGACAGCGTCCTCCACACACACCAGGACGGCCACCTTTCCTACTGCCAGTCGCCTGTGTCTTCATGCCGACAGGCCCTCCGTGGCACCAAACACCCGGCAAAGGTCCTCTCTCCGGCGTCACGCCCCGCGGCATGTGAAGAGGCCTTGTGAGTTGGCCGCAGCGGCCGAGGGGAAACACCACGGCTGCAGACTCAGCAGCAGAACTTCCACGTCTCACGTGCTGGAGGCAGGGAAGCCCAAGTTCGAGGTGCCGGCAGGGGCCGGTGCTCCTGAGCCTCTGTCCTCGAGATGTTCCAGTTCCCCCACGCAGTCGGTCCCCCTGCCTTGCCGAGACCAACGTGAGCTGGGTCTTTGCCGCCAGCTGCTGACAGAGTCCCCGTGAGCACCGCGTTGGACCGCCTGCGTGCTCACCTCTGCCCGCCGTGCTGTCCCTGGGCCCGAGCGGGGACCCGTCACCGCGCTCATCACTGCTTTGTGACCCAGCGACAAGAGCACACCGGGAACACAGGAAGAACTCACGAAATGGCGGGTGACGCTTCGTGGACATCGAGGATTGGACAGCTGGCCAGAGGGCGTGGCCCGGTCCCCAGCTGGTCAGAGGAAGAGATGAAGATTCTGGAGGAGAAGATGGGACCAGGGTCACACGGAAGCTGACGGCACAGCCCCGAGTGGGAGCCGGGGTCCCGGGGCCCTGGTGCTCACGGGGACACAGGCCCAGCAAAACTGGATGGGGAACTCGGGGACCGTCCCCCAGGTCCTGAGCCGGTCGGCCTTGGAGGCTGCGCTCCCTGCACCCAGTCCCCTGCATTGACAGTGTCCAGTGAAGCGTGACTGTGGTGTCACCAGTGTAGGGCCAGGCCGTGTTAGAGGAGGAGGGAGTGTGTGTGTGTGTGTGTGTGTGTGTGTGTGTGAGAGAGAGAGAGAGAGAGAGAGAGAGACAGAGGCTGCAGCCGCCGCTGAAAAGCTCATCATTAACCCAGGAGGGAGTGTGCAGCTCTAATGAAGCCATTAGCCACAGGCCGTTCCACGGGAGGAAGTGGGAGGGCTGAGCTCTGAGCCGCTGCCTGTAATGAACCTGAGCCTGGACTCGGACGTGGGGGACTCCCGCGGTATTCTTGGCACTGGTGACCGCCGGCGCGGGAGCTGCCCAGACCGCGGCCCCCACTGCAGGCGTCCCGCGTGCCTGAGAGAGCTCCTGGCAGAGACTCGCTCCCTGCTGGGGGCCGGGACTCCCTGGGGACAGACGGACAGACGGACAGACGGACAGCCAGTCCCGGTGAGCGCGTGTTTAACTCTAAAGGTCGGTTCTGGGCCGATAGCGCCCTTGGGGAAAGAACGGAGACACCCTCTCTCCTCGCGTCTTCTACTTCAGAGTCGAGCAGTGTTTCCTGGTCGGCTTCGGGAGACATCAGCTCCAAGGTCAGAGGGGCCCTAAGTGTCTCAAGGCCACAGACCCTCTGTCACCCTCCCCGGGCCCAGAGGAAGGGTTTCCAAAGGGCAAGCAGGCAGCCCCCACAGTCCCGGGAGAGACGGCGTTCTCCCCGTCACCGTGCGAGTCCCGGCGGGCGGGAGAGACGGGACCCCGGCACGCGGCCCGAGGTCGAGCGGGCCTCGAGGCACCAGGGTCCCTGCGGCCGTGACGACGGGCTCCCAAGGGCGGAGGGCACAGAAGAAGGCAGGGCGTGTGCCTGGACGTCTGCGTGCAAATGAGAAGCCCCGAGGGCGGGTGGTCGCCGCCCAGGCGGGGTGATGGCGGGCGTGCGGGGTGGAAGTCCCGGGCTCGGGGGCGTGGCAGGGGTAGGCCCTCTCGCTGCACCGTCTGTCCGATGGGAGTCTGTCCGTCCATCTGTCTTCTGCCAGCATCCCTTCTGTCTTTCTTCTCCTGGAGGGGCAGCCTCCTTGGCGGGCCTGTCGGCCGGGGGCCCCATGCTCCCCAGACGAGGGAGGGGCCCAGGCCCCAAGGAGCCGGCCAGACCCCGGGGAACTTCAGCGGAGAGCCCAGTGCCTCGGGGGCCGGGCGGCGAGCGGGCCCCCTGTGCTTCTCTCTGGCGAGCCGGCCCCTCTTTCCCGGGTTCGGGGTCCCAGACGCTGCACAGCGGCCGGCCTCCCCAGGGCTCCCCCGGCGTCGGCTCTGGTCCTAGGAGCAGGACCCGGCCCCTGAGGAGCTGCCCGCGGATCCACACGAGGCTGTGACAGTCCCCAGGGGCAGGCGGCAGGGGAGGGTTTTGTGGGGCCAAAGTCAAGCCGTCCAGGGGCTGTGTTCCTTCAAGGGACCCGGGGTAACCTGTCCCTGTTCCAGCTCCCAGCGGCCACCCACGCCTCCTGGCTCGTTATGGTCCCCCCTGACCCCTGCCCCCTCACGGCGGTGTCTTCTCTCCCGCTGACCCTCACGGCTGCCCGCTCCGAGAGCTCTGTGGTTCCGCTCGGCCCGCCCCCGCTATGCCAGGGCAATTCCCCGCCGACCCCCCTCCGCCCACTCCAGGCCCCGAATCACTCTGCCGAGTCCCTCTGACCACGCCAGGGACACAGCCCCAGGTTCCGGAGCTGCGGACACGGGCATCCTGGGGGGAGTGCCCCTCCACCGGCCACAGGGCCTCCCCGCTCACACCGGCCGCGGCACGCTTCTGTCGCCCACACCCAGACCCCGCTGATGTGGGGCTCTGCAAAGACAGCCAGGGTTTCATTGTTACTGGGGGAACCAGGAAGGCCGCCACAGGTAAACCCCAGGTGCGCCGCTCGGCCTGCCTGGGAAGCCGTCTGGGAGGGCGGCCCTGCGGCCCGGTCCCTCCCTCAGGTGGGCGTCTCGTCTCCGCGCCTGCGAAGGTGCCCTGAGAGGCCCGCCCCCTGACCCTGCCCCGGCTGCTTGCTTCCCCCCAGGACACGGAGCTCCTGAACACGGCCATCCTCACGGGGAAGACGGTCACCTTGCCCGTCAAGGTGGTGTCCGTGGAGGAGAACGGCGCGGTGGCCGACATCTCGGAGTCCGTGGAGTGCAGGTCCGCAGACGAGGACGTCGTCAAAGTAAGTGGCTCTTCCCCCACATGCACGGATGTGCCCCGGGCGTGCAGCTCGCCGAGGAAGGTGAGCCCAGTGTGCGCGTGTGTGTGTGCGTGCGTGAGATGGGGAACCGGTCGGCGCGTGTGCACGCCACACGCTCTAAGCCCCCGCTTCCGCCTCCCGGGGCTGGCGTCCTGCCAGCCGTCCGCATCGAGGGTGTGCGGGGCACCGGGCCGCCGGACCCCGGGTGCCCCCAGTGGCCGGGCCGGCGATTCACGGGAGCTCAGCCGCGGGTCAGCCGTACTGGAGACCCACCCTGCCCAGCCGCCGCCGCTCGTGGCCGCGAGTGAGTGCGAGTCGGGGGCCGCCTCTTGTCGAGGGAAACGGAGACTTCGGGTGCCAGTCACCTCGTTTTTTGGTGTCGACAACCAGCTGTGTGTTTTTATTTTCCCAATGGGCAGCAATTTAAAAATATGTCTGCAGTGGGGGTTTGGTCCGTGGGGCGGCTGCTAAAGCTACCGGGATCTGGGCCGGCCGTCCTTGCGAGGGTGCACAGCACGGCGAGGGAGGGCGTGGACAGGGTCAGTGTGGGGTGCCCAGTCACCCCCCCAACCCCCCGTGAGCTTCGTCTGCAGCGGCGTCGGGAAAGTCGCTGCAATGCCCTGTCGTCACGGAAGAAGTGTGGGTGCTGCACCAGGGACCTGTGCGCCCCCCACAAGGGGGCAGGGGAGCTGTGGGCGAGGTGTGAGAGGAGCCACCAACCAGCTCACCCACAGACAGAGACAGGAGGGCGGGTCCCGGCCCACAGCAGGCCCAGGCCCAGCTGCTCTGGAGGCTTCCGGAGACCGGGCCCTCCCAGCGCGACCCCCCTCCCGTGCACAGAGGGGAGGGGCAAGATAAAGGGGGACCAGTGGGGCCGAGGGGGGAGGGACAGGAAAGCTGCCCAGAGTTCCGCTCAGGGTCCCCCTTCCCGGAGGGCTTGTGCCGCGGGACAAATGACCCGGCGTTCAGTGTGGTTGACACGAAGGTCACTGGTTCTCGCTCGGGCACCGGCAGGTGGTCGGTGTCTGCGGGCTGGGCTGGGCTGGGCTGAGAGGGATCTTGAAGGGCAAAGGCCCCGGAGGCGGCAGAAATGCAGGAGGCCGCTTGAGCCCGAGGTTGGACTGGCCGGCTCTCGCTCTGTCCACGTTCTTTCGGCCAAAGCTGGTCGCGTGGTCGGGTCCGCCGCTGACGGGAGGGGAGCAGAGCCTGTCCTCGGTTGAGGAGACGGGAGGGAATCAACGGTGACCCCCCCACGCCGGGCCGAGGGCGGGCGCCACGGCCTAGAGCGGAGCCCTGGGGCGGACGGCCATGTGACCTCGGACACATAACATCACTGCTCTGTGTCTAAGCGATTCCTCGCTTGGAACCGGGACCGACACAGAGACGCAGCCCCCTCCTGTCCACGGCGGGCGTTCCGGGAGACGGTCCCCGTGCCCCTGGCTGACCGCAAGCCCTCAGTGCAGGGTTGTGTTTGTGCCTGAGAGAGTCTCTCCTCCCGTGTGTGTGCGGGTGCCCTTCCACGCGTGTGCCATGGGGGGTGCAGAGACTGGCACCTGAGCGCCTTTGTCCTCACTGAGGCCGCCGGCTGCGGTTGCCTTGGCAACTCTCTGCCCTGGGGGTGCTGAGACCGTTCCCGCCCCCTCGGTTCTCCGTGGAGGGACCGCGTGTTGTTTGCGTGAAGGAGGAGCGCCCCCCCTCCCCCGGCAGGCTCCCGGGCTGGGCTCTCCAGCCGCCCCAGCAGCCCAGCCCCCCGGATGGAAGCTCAGGCCGCTCCCGACAGGGCGAGTTCACAGTTTGCACGCCGTCGGCTGGGAACACCCTGCAAACTCGGGAACCCAGAGAAGGGTGACACAGGCCCTCAGTAAAGGCCAGCCCTCGGCTGTGGCCAGCGGTGACGGTGGACAGCAGGGAGGGAGCAGCCCCGAGGCAGCCGGCCGGCAGGTGGGGGTGCCCCGGGGGCCACTCTCGGCCCCTCCACGGCCAGCGGCCAGCCCCTGTCCCTCCCACCAGGGCCCCCCCCCACTGCACCCCAGCCTGGTCTCCGACACCAGCAGGACGCCGGGGACAGAACACGCAGCTGCATCCAGGGCTCGGGCTGGTGACCAGATGGAAGGCGATGGCTTTTCAGCGCCGGGAACAAATCTGACATTCTCAAAACTCCATCGGGGCCAACGGGACCCAGGGCCCTGTTTACAAGCTCCGATTCACCTGTTCCTTGTCAGCGTGCGTTTCTGGGACACCTCCCGTGTGCCGGGTTTCGGTCACCGGGGGCACAGCACTGAGGAGAGCAGCGCGATTCCTGTCCAGAGGACAAGAAGCCGAAATCACAGGTCGCCTGGACAGGGTGGAGGAAGACCCGGCAGCCGACAGGGAGCAGTAAAGCCAGAGGAGGGGCGGTGTGGGGGACTGCCGTTTGAAACAGAAACGCCAGAGAAAGGCTCTCCTCCGAGGTGTCTGCACCTGAGCGAACTGCGGGGGGGCCCTGGGGCGAGAGGAGGGGGAGCCCCCGCTGCAGACGCAGAGCGAGGAGCCCGCTGCACTGAGCGGAGAGAGAGGGTCGGTTCGTGGGGCGGACCCAGGCCCGGCCCACGAGCCACGGGATCCCGGCGATTCTGTCCCTGAAGCTGGTTTCTCTCCCCAGCCCCCACCCCTCAGGGGCGGGAAGGGAACTCAAGCAGGAGTCTGACTTCTGGACGTAGGGAGGGTGCGACCTCGTCAGAGCTCCCCTGCTGGGGGGGGGGACGCCGACCACAGCTGGGAGCCGGGAGGCGGGTCTGGGGGGCCGTCGGCACACCCACGGAAAGCAGAGCTTCAGAACGACCGAGTGTAGCAGTGACCCCCCCCCGGGGACGGGCTGCAGCCCAAATGTCTGTGTGTCCCCCCAGTTCCCATGCTGAGGCCCCAGCCCCCAAGCTGACGGTGGGAGCTGGGGCCTTAGGGAAGTGCTGAGGCCGTCAGGGCGGGGCCCTCGGGGGGTGGGGATCAGTGTCCTGATGAGAATGACCCCCGGCTCCCTGGCCCCTCCCGGAGGGCGTGCTCAGCGAGAAGGTGCCCCCCGGACCCAGGGAGCAGGCTGTCGTCAGGAGGCACGGGATCTGCTGGCGCCTCGACCTGGGACCCCCGGCCTCTAGAACTTTGAGAAATAACTGCGAGCTGTGTAGGCCCCCCGAGTCCATGGCGTCCGGTCAGAGCAGCCCAGGCTGACCAGAGGGAGGCCTCGGTTGCCATGGAAACACCACGCACCGCAGACGGGGCCGCTGCGTTGTTGCGAGAGCACGTCTCCAGGTGTGGCCCCCGGAACCCCGCAGCAGCAGCAGCAGCACCCAGGGCCTCGTTGGAAATGCAGCTGAGGGCCCCCCCAGGCTGCTCCGTCTGAGACCCGGGGGCCGGGGTCTGTGCTGACAGGCCCTCCCGCATGCTCCCTGGGGTCCGGGACCCTGCTCAGAGGATGCAAGTCACCGTGGACACCCGCAGTGGCCGTCTGCAGCCTCTCCCCCAGGAGGCGGGCAGTGTCCTCCGGAAGTTGGTGAACTCAGAGTGACAACAGCCCACTGCCCACACGCTGCTCAACCGGACCCCACACGACCCACCGTGGCCCTGCAGGCCCTTAAGAGCCGCCAGTTCAGTGTCCACCGCGTGCTCAGGCCAAGGGCAGAGTCCGCAGAGGGCAGCGCTCCACAGCCAGCCCTCCCACGGCAACGGGCGAGGGGGGTTTCCAGAACCCAGGCCGAGGGTCGGAAGGGACACTCCTGGAGGCTTCAGCTCCTTTGTGCCGGTGGGCCGGCCATGGGGCGGTACCGCAGTCTCCGCTCCCGCCACTTCGGAGATGATGGACGCACCCTGCCGCTCCCCGGGACATTCACGGCACCGCCAGGGGCAGCGGGGACCGGGGGTCCTCGTGCTCAGCGGCTCCGCACCCTCCGAGTTCCTCTCGATCACGTACGGATTCTGGAGCGGCCGCCGCCCCGCCCCCGGAGCTCAGGAAGGTGGCAACCGAGGAGAGTCAATGGCCTGAAAATCGCCACGTTGATCCAAGAAGTGATCACCGAGGCGACTCTGGCCCGACTGTTACGCTGGTGCCCGCCCAGATCCGGGACAGCGCGGGCACGCTAACGACCAGCCAGGGACAGTGGCCACGATTGGTCCCCTCCCTCCATCGGCACGCCAACGTTTTTAAACCGCTCTCAGCCGTCTGGGAGAAGCGGGGTCCGCGGGCTCCCCTCCCCACAGCTCCCTGCCGCGGTCCCCAGCAGGTGGGGGGCGGCTCTGAGCCCGGCCCCCCCAGCTGCCCCTGCAAACGCAAGCACGAGCGAGGACGAGAATGGGGCCCAGGGCAGCAGTCACGTCCCGGAAGCCGGGGAAGGGCAGGGCGAGGAGAGAGCTTTGCTGTGCGGCGCCAGGTGGCGGAGGGGGGGCGGGTCTCGGGCAGGAGGCTCGGACAGACGGGAAGCAGAGGAGCAAACCGGCAGTTACGGCCCAGGGTCGGGAAGCGCCGTGCGGGGACTCCGTGAGCGGCTGCGTTAGCCCGGACGCATTTACGCAGAACTGCGTGGCGTGCACTTCTCCCGCCACAGTCAGCTCCCTGCGTGCGAGCCCCAAGGAGTCGGTGACCCCCCAAAAGTTAGGAGACCCGGTTTGAGTGCTTTCTAGACGTTTTCAAGTTAACTTCCTGTGGTTCTGCTGCCCCTGGCTTCGTCTTACCACGGTCTCTCATCCTATGACCCTCGACCCCAAGATTTTGGTTGTTTGGAAGTGGGTGTGCCCAAGAAGAAAGGGTCTGTTCACCCACCAATCCAGCTGTCCATCATTCACCCATCCATCATCTTCCCACCCATCCATCCACCCATCATCCATGTATCCATCATTCATCCGCCTATCTATCCACTTACTATCCACTCATCCTTCCATCCTTCCACCTGTCCATCATCCATCCACCATCCAACCATCATCCATCCATCATCCATCCATCATCCATCCATCATCCATCATCCATCCATCCATCCATCTGTCCATCATCCATCCCCCATCCATCCCCCATCCCCCATCCACCCACCCCTTCAACGTCCACCTTGCTGAGCTCCTCCCGAGCAACTGACACGAGGAACCCAGAGGTCAGAGGTGAGCCAGATGCACGTCTTGCCTTCAAGGATCTCAGAGTCTGGCAGTTGGTGCGGTCACACGGTCAGTGTCAGTCACGTCTCAGGAACTCGGCCGTGCAGGATGGGCCGTGCTGTCTCTCCACGACCCGCCCTGATTTCTGTGTCCACTTTTCAGTTCATTAGAGGGTGGAAGGACAGGACCCCAGCTAATTTCCAGGGACGTAACTATTGCCAACGTGTGTGGGGGGTGGGAGTGGGTGCTTCTAATCTCCAGGTCTCCTGGGACGCTGCCTGGGGGGGACGTGGCGGGGACTCCCTCGCTGAGCAGACAGCGGCCCGGACAGCAGCCACTCTGGTGTCCCCGGCACATTCCCTTGGCCAGGCGGTTCTGTGCAGTTCAAGGTCACTTGGTGGCTGCAGCAAACCCCTCCAGCTGCCTTCTGCTTGCTGCCCCAGGGGCTTCTCAGACGCCCGGGGCTGTGTCTCCGCCTGCGAGGGCAGGGTTGCTAACCCACGGGGTGGCCCGCAGCCCTCAGCCAGCAAGAGAGAGGGGCTGGGGGTGGCGCCCCTGCCTCCGGTTTGTCGGGGGGCCAGTTCTGCAGCTGGTCCGCACGCCCCAGGTGGAACAGCCCCGTGGTCACCGCGGCAAACGCAGAAACACGCCTTCTGTGGGCTTGCCCTCGCGCTCCGTCTCCCCCTCTCTGCGCCCTGGCCGTCGCCCCCCAGGGTCACCTCCCGGTCAGCCAGCCGCACTGAGCCCTCGTCACGGGCTCCTCGCTGGGAGGCAGCCGGCTCCAGCGCATGGGCTCTGCACGCACAAGGACAAGTGGAAGGATGGTCTCGGGCCCGTGAACTTGGCCTGCACCCCCTCTGTCTCTGCACAGGTGTCCGACCGCTGCGACCGCGTCTTCGTCAACGGCAAGGAGGTGAAGGGCAAGGTGGACGTGGTGGTGACCTTCAGCTACCAGCACCTGCGCGCACCCCTGCACATCACGGTGTGGGCGCCCCGGCTGCCCCTGCAGATCGAGGTCTCGGACACGGAGCTGAGCCAGGTCAAGGGCTGGCGGGTCCCCCTGGTGGCCAGCAGGAGGTGAGCCCGGTGGGGAGGGGCTCCCCGGCCTGACCATGGCCTTGACCACCCAGCGTCAGGTTAAAGGAGCCAGCGCAGGGCCCGGCACACAGTAGGTGCTGCTGTCATCTCGGTGACTCCACGTCCTGCAGCCCCACACCAGCCCTCCCGGGGGGCCAAGGCCGGGAGGAGCCAGCCGGCGGCGAGGCTGCCGCATCCGGGTCAGCCTCCGACCCCCGGGGCCAGCTGCCCCTGCCCGTGGCCTTGCAGTGGGCTCTCTTCTGAATACGCCCCCCTGAAGACAGCAAAGACAGCGAGGTGGAGGTTATACTTATTTCAAGATTTTATTTATTTGTAGAGCGAGGGGAGTGGAGGGAGAAAGAGGGAGAGAAACATTAATCGGTTGCCTCTCGCACACCCACCGGGGACCGAACCTGTAGCCAGGCCTGAGCCCAGACCAGGGACCCGGCCGGCAACCCTTGAATTCGCGGGACAGCCCCAACCCGCTGCGCCACACCATCCGGGCCGGAAGTTACACAGTTTCCTAGCCCCTCGGCCCCCAGGGAAGTTTAAGCTTTGATTTATTTTCCTTTAGTGAAACGGGGATTCCCTTTTCTCTGGTTTAAGGATATCTCTAAGCTTGCAAAGCTCTGCGCCTAGGGAGTCGCTGCATAAAATCTAATTGCCTGTGTACTGGACCATGGGGTCACGGTTTGCTCTTACACTAACAAATAAACAGAAAAGGCCTTTAATGTATACACCCTGTGACTCCGGATCGTCGTACGTACATGGGAGTCGGGGTCCTGTTTCCCAACTCCGAGGCCGCTCTCAGCCGACGCGAGTCCCGGCTGTCGGCCTGGAGTCCTCCCTCCGTGACCCCCGGGGCCTCTCCCCACCGCCTCCCGGGCACCGGCCGGCCGGCATCTCTGTCACAGCTCTGAGCTGGAGCGCGCCACAGGAGGGGGCGCTGGCCGGGTGGGACACGCACTCCGCGTCCGCAAGGAAAACCTGGCCTGGCTCGGGGAGGGCAGCCGTGAATGCAGCCAACACTCCAGGGGGCTTAGTGGCCATGCGTGGCCAAGGGGCCAGGCCTGTGGATGTGGCGAGGAAGGTGCACGTGTCCCCGCAGAGGGCACAGCCGAGACTTGCTCCGCAGCCAACCTAAGCTCCACCACCGCCCTGCTGTGTGACCTTGGGCACGCCGCCTACCCTCTCTGTGCCCCGGTTTTCTCACCTGGAACCTGAGACTCGTTAGTTAGCACCTGGCTCAGAGTTTCATGAGGCGGGAGAAGGTTGTGCGCGTGGAGCCCAGAAGGGCATTGCTCCTCCAAAGTGCCACGTGGCTCTGTCCCAGCAGAACTTTCCGCAGTGCCGGAATGTTCCAGAAACAGGCTGTCCAATGGGGTGGCCACTGGCCCATGGGGTGACGGAGCCCGCGGAACACAGCCCGTGTCACCGAGAAACTTAGTTTCTTCACGTATTTAATTTTTATCCATTACAATTTTACAATTTAAATTAAATTATAAAGAGAAGGTACAATTTTATCCGTTACAATTTAGCTTTTACAATTTCAGTTAAATTATAAATGGCCGTCTGTGGCTAGGAGCTACTAACGGGACGGTGGAGGCTCGGGCAAGAGTAGCCCTCAGGTCTCTCCGGGTCAGTAATGGTCTTCAAGGAGGGATGTCCGAGGTTCTGTGCTCCGGCGGGGTCCCACACGGGGGGTCCCACACGGGGGCCCTGCCCGGGAGGCCGTCTGCGGGAGGCCGAGGCAGGCACCTGGCACCTGCCCGGCTCCGGGCCTGAGGACGCCGCCCCGCTCCCCGCAGGCCGGCCCCGGACAGCGAGGACGAGGAGGAGGAGGAGCGGCGTGGCCGGGGCTGCGCCCTGCAGTACCAGCGCGCCACCGTGAGGGTCCTCACCCAGTTCGTGTCCGAGGGCGCCGGCCCGTGGGGACAGCTGAGCCACCTGCTGGGCCCCGACTGGCAGGTGGACGTCACGCACCTGGTGGCCGACTTCATGAAGGTGGAGGAGCCCCGCGTGGCCGCCCTGCAGGACGGCGGCCGGGTCCTAGTCGGGCGGGAGGTCGGGATGACCACCATCCAGGTAGGAGGCGGAGCCGGGAACGCCCGCTCGTCCAGCCCTGAGCGCCTTGGGTGGGGGGGCCTTGCCAGGTGGGCGTAGCCCTGAGGCTGGTGCCCTGTCCGCGCGGCGGCCTCCTGGGGACACCAGACCGTGAGCCGGACCAGCTCTCTGAGCCCCAGCCTCCTTCCGAACAGAGTGGAGAAGGCGGCGGCACTTCGCTCCCCCTGTGACCCCTCTCCCTGAGGCACCCTGCTTCCCCGCCACCTCCCAGGACCCCCGACCCGACCCTGAGCCTCCCCCATGCGTCGGAGCCTCCTCCGACGGCCAGGAAGACGCGCCCGCCCCCTTCTCTAAGTCCCTCCCTCGTTTCCCCCTGTATTCACCCAACAACCCCGCCCCCGCGCCACCCTCCTGCCGCCGAGTCTCGAAGGAAGGGCGGGTCTCTGAACGAGCCCCAGAAGCTCTGGGAGCTTTTCCACCAGCCCGAGACTCCCACCCCGCTTGCCCCTCCTGTTTGGGAAGCCCTCCCGGATCCCCCCACAGCCGCCGTGTGGGGAGGCGGCCGTGCGCACCTCTCCCTTCGCCCGGACGTCTGCCGCCCCACCCTGGGCTCGCGAGCAGGGGCCGTGGGGGGGGGGGCGAGTCTCAGCGCCCCCGGTTGGTCCCGTGGTTCCCTTGGAACGGGATTCTCGCGGCCCCCGGCGGGGGTCAGCGGGCAGGATCTCCGAGCGCTGACACGAGGCTGTGGTTGTACGAGCGTGCCTCGTCCCCCAGCCCGGGGGGGTGGGGGGGTCGCCTCCCCGCAGAGCAAGCGTGGGGGTCAGCGCCGCGTCAGTTTTCCCACGGGCAGAGCTGCAGTGTCCCGGGAGGGGCAACTCTGTCTGATTCTCACGGGGGCTCCTCCTGGGCACGTGTGGGGGGGGGGAGGTGCACACGCCCTTCCCCCCCCCCCCGTCCTCCGGACCCCTGGCCCGTGGGGGACGCAGGAACGCGGCGGGGGGGGGCGCCCAGCCCCCGAAACCGGCGTGACGGGTCTGTCTCGTGTGCTGCGCACCCGCAGGTGCTGTCCCCGCTGTCCGACTCCATCCTGGCAGAGAAGACGGTCACCGTGCTGGACGACAAAGTGTCACTGGCAGACTTGGCCGTCCAGCTCGTGGCGGGGCTGTCGGTCGCCCTGCACCCCGGCGCAGAGAGCCGCGGGGCCGTCACCGCAGTGGCCACGGCCGAGGAGCGGCTGCGGGCCCCCAAACAGGTGGGAGCCCGGGGGCCGGGCGCGGAGAGGGGCGGCCAGGCTCTGGTCACCGTCCCTGACTCCGCAGCAGGGTGGCGGGGTGGGGAGGGGGCAGGGCGGGTGGCCCCGACTCAGGGACTTGCGGACGCCGTTCACCCGTGACAGGGCGGGTCCCCAAACTGCTCCGGGGCGAGTGTTGTTTTAAGTCGTCCAGGGCCCCCCCTCTTTGGGGACACGCACTGGCGTTCCCCCCCCGTCAAGAAGACGCCCCACTGCAGCCTCTGAGGTTCACTGACGGGAAGGGGTCTCGGCGCCGTCACACCGCAGGGGTGGTGGTGGGACGGATGTTGGCAAGCCCCCCGCCCCGCCGCCCCCACCCGAGGTCTGAGGGCTTCATTCAGACTGTCCGCCGCCCAGGGCCTTCCTTTGCACCCCGGCCTGGAGAGCCGGCCTGGAGAGACGCCCCTTTGCGTGAACCCCACCTACAGTTTGTGAGGGGAAGCTAGCGCAAGACGAGGAGCCAGCCGGGGGCAGCGCACCGGCGGGGGGTCAACACTGTGCTATCGCAGCCCTGGGGCGGGGGCTGGCACCTTGCTCGTGGGGGTCTCAGCTCTGAGACGCGGACCCGGAGTGACCTGTGGGCCCAACACTGCCCCGCGCCGCCCCGACGGAAGAGATAGGGTGGGGAGTGGGATTCCGCGGCCGGAGCGTCTGTCGCGGCTTTGGTTTCCTGGACGCTGGGCCTCACGAGGGGACCCACGCCCGCGCTTTATCTGGGTGACGGGGACCCATCATGTGGGGGAGAGAGGGCGGGGAGGAGGGGACGCTGCAGACAGACAGCCAGGAGCGCGCTCCGGGCTCCGCCCGCACCACGGGCCCCAGGCGGCTAGGAAGCCGTCAGCCAGCACAGAAAGGGCTGGAAGGTCCTTGTTCCTGGGGGCAGGGGGGCTGGGGGCCTGGGTCTGGCTGTGGGTATGGGTCTGGCTGTGGGTGTGGACGTGGGTGTGGGTGTGAATACAGACAGGGGTATGGGCTTGGATACAGGCGATACAGGTGATACAGGTGATATGATGATACAGCTGATATGGTGATGCAGGTGATATGATGATACAGGTGATGATACAGATAATACAGGTGATGCAGGTGATGATACAGGTGATGCAGGTGATATGGTGATACAGCTGATATGGTGATGCAGGTGATATGATGATACAGGTGATGATACAGATAATACAGGTGATGCAGGTGATGATACAGGTGATACAGGTGATGATACAGGTGATGATGCAGGTAATACAGGTGATACAGGTGATGGTACAGGTGATACAGGTGATATGGTGATGCAGGTGATATGGTGATACAGGTGCTACAGGTGATATGATGATACAGGTGATGGATGATACAAGTGATGATACAGGTGATGATACAGGTGATGGATGATACCGGTGATGATACAGGTGATGATACAGGTGATATGATGATACAGGTGATGGATGATACAGGTGGTGATACCGGTGATGATACAGGTGATGATACAGGTGATACAGGTGATGCAGGTGATGATACAGGTGATGATACAGGTGATGATGCAGGTGATACAGGTGATGCAGGTGATGACACAGATGATACAGGTGATGATACAGGTGATACAGGTGATGATACAGGTGATATGATGATACAGGTGATGATACAGGTGATGGATGATACAGGTGATGATACCGGTGATGATACAGGTGATGATACAGGTGATATGATGATACAGGTGATGATACAGGTGATGATACAGGTGATACAGGTATGTAGATACAAACGCCCGCCCGCCCTCAGCTGAGAGCCGCCCGGCGCTGCTGGCCCTGAGCCCGCCCACCTGCGTTCCGGGGGCGGAGCACGCCCTGCAGCAAACCACACAGGCAAACAAGAGACCCCGGCCGGGCGGACCCCATGTGGTGGAGCAGGCAGCCCCGGGGGAGTGACCGCACCAGCAGCGAGGCCCCACCCGTCCCGTCCAGGCTCCTGCAGTCCTGGTCCCGTCACGGGCGGCCGGTGTCGGCCCGGGGCACAGTGACCAGTGGAGACGTACCCTGGTGACTGTTTTCGTCCACCCCGAGCGCCCCTCCAGCTGAGGCTCCTGGTCTCCCTGCCGCGCGTCCCTGGGCAGGGGACCCGTGTGCCCACGTGCACGGCGCCTGGGACAGTGGCTGCCGCCCAGGAAGTGCTGCGGCCTCCTGGCTACCTGCGCGCCAAAGGGGCCACGTCCTGCTTCCTGCCGCCGGGGACCGGGTCACCGTGTGTGGCAGAGGGGGCTGTGCAGATGGGATTGAGCGTGAGACGCAGAGGTCACAGTGGATGACCGGCAATGTGATGTGCTGGCCCCGGTGTCGCCCCGAGGGTCCCGATCAGAGGGACATGGGAGCATCGGGCTGCCAGCAGGAACCTCGAGGGTGTGGCCTTGCGCTCGGGGCTCTTTGCCCACAAACCCAGTGGGGTGTCGTGGCGTTTGGGGGTTCTGTGGGGCTTTTCCCTGGGGCGGATTACGCAGGATCCATCGCCGCCTGTCCGCATCTGCTCTGGTCTAATTACGGAGGTTTTCTCCCCGGATCTATCGGCCGTCCGGTCTGGGCCTGGAGCCCTGCCCCCTGTCACAGCAGCACCGGGCAGGGAGGGGCCTCAGTGAGCAGATGGCCCCCCCCGCCCCGGGGCCCCCTGACAGGCTGTCTCTCTGCAGGAGGCCGTGGTCAGCACTTGGCTTCAGTTCAGCGACGGCTCCGCGACGCCCCTGGACATCTACGACACCGAGGACTTCACCCTGACGGCCACCTCCCTGGACGAGGCCGTGGTGTCTGTCCCCCAGGCCCGCTCTCCCCGGTGGCCCGTCGTGGTGGCCGAAGGGGAGGGCCAGGGGCCGCTGCTCCGCGTGGACCTGGCCATCGCGGAGAGCTGCCAGAAATCCAAACGCAAGAGCGTCCTGGCGGCGGGTGTCGCCAACGTCAGGGTCAAGTTTGGCCAGAACGACGCGGACCCCAGCCCCGGAGGGGGAGGGGACGGCGGCGAGGCCGAGATCGAGAACCACGCCAGCGACCAGCGCCCCGGGGGCCGGGACCCCGAACGCACGGGCCAGGGCGGGCTCCTCCCGGGCAGCCCGTCCCTGGGGCGTGAGGAGGGGGCTCGCAGGGGCGGCCCCACCGCCAGGTCGCTGCTGGACAACCCGGTTGCGGAGAACAGCCGGCTGGACGGGGGCCGGCAGCCCGGGGAGGCCCCACTGCCCAACATCCCCATCGACGCCGGCGACTTCCCGGCGCCCGCGGACCTCCCGCGGGCCGGGGCCGGGCCGGGCGCCCGCGGCCTGAGTGACCTGCAGATCGGCATGTACGCCCTCCTGGGTGTCTTCTGCCTGGCCATCCTGGTCTTCCTCGCCAACTGCGCCGCCTTCGCCCTCAGGTACCGGCACAAGCAGGCGCCCCTGGAGGGCCCGGCCTCCGTGACCCACTTGCACGACTGGGTGTGGCTGGGCAACGAGGCCGAGCTGCTGGAGGGCGTGGGCCAGGGGCCGCTGCCGCCGCCGCCGGACGAGCACACGACCGTGCTGGACCACGGGCCAGGGGCCTGCGTGGACGGCAGCCGCCTCCTGCTCAACGGCGGCTCCTCCCCGAGGCAGGCGCCGGGACAGGGGCCCTGGCCGGCCGAGTCGGGGGCCAGGCGGGGCCGGGACCAGAAGCACGAGCCGCTGCACTCGCCCGCCTGCAAGAGGAAGAAAGTGAAGTTCGCCTCCCTCACCCCCGTGCCCCCCGGCGACGGCTGCCCCACCGCGAACTGCGTCCTCGGCGGCCACGACGAGGACATCAAGTGGGTGTGCCGGGACCTGGGCCTGGGCACCCCCGGGGAACCCAGAAGCTGCCTGGAGAAGCTCAAGGACAAAGTGTAGGCCCCTCGGGCCCGAGGGCCCCGTGCCAGTCCCTGCTCCATCAGTCCCAGGGTGGACCTGGGCCCCTGGCACGGAGGTCGAGGGTCAGGGGGTGTTGAGTGGGGGCACGCAGGGCCCCTTATAGACCTGCTGGGGGGTTGGAAGCCACGGAGGGACCTTTTTTGTAATCAGAGGTTTTTTAGCAGAGGATGAGGGCAGGGCCGCGTGCATTGGCAAAGGGACTCCGGGGATGCAGGTGACCGAGACACGGGGCCGCGCCAGGCCACCCTCGGGAGCCTGTGTCACGAATCACACGGTCAAGCCACCAAAGGTGACTGGTGGAGAAACGCCAAGAGACCAATAAAAAGAGACAGACATCGCCGCTGGTTTATATTTCTAACGAAGGGGCGTAACCGAGAACCAGGGACAGCCCCATCCCGGCTCGAGGCCCCCTCCCCGGGGACGGTCCACACGGGGCCGGGAGGACAGGGGTCCAGGGCCCCGTCCCCTCTGGGGACAGCCCCCGAGAATTTCCAGATCTCACTCACTCACCTTCCCTTTTTCTGTGTTTCCTCTTCCCTTTTTTCTTTGGGTGTCCTGGACGTCCACCTGATTTCGACTTCATGTTGATTTTCCGAGGATCAGATGGTGTGTTCTCCAGAGATTAAACATCAATCACATTCCTATGCATTAGACAGAGTCTTAGGAACGGTCGCTTTTAATTCATCCTTCGAGCACGTTGGACGCTTCTCTCCACCACGGCCTTGTCGCTGGTTGCTGGGCATTTCCACATAAACGGAGTTCCCAGAGCGTCCAGGGGCCTGGCTGGGCCCACAGGCACCAGCAGTCACGGGTGGCACGGGGCACAGCCGCCCTGGGGACACTGTCAGAGGCTGCTCACGGGGCCGCCAGCCAGCAGCACAAGCCCAGTGGGGCCCCGACCCCCCAGCCACTCCACGGCCCCTGTCCTGGGGGCCCTCCTCATTCGGAGACGTGGGGTCAGAGGCCCTAGGGGGCCCACACCCGAGGGAGCCCACCCCCAAGGGTGCTCAATGTCCCCTCGCACGGTGGCTCTGTTGGGACACCCACTGACACCGAGCATGAACACAGATAAAAACGGAGCGTTTTGAAACTGCGTTCCCAGCTCTGCTGGGCGGGGGGCACCCACACAGGCCGAAAAGGCAGAGGTCCGTGTGAGGTGCCAGCCCGCGGCGACGCGTGGCCGCCGACCTGTGTGCAGAACCCAGAGAACCCCTTCACCCGGAGCGGGGCGTCCCGGGCCGAGTGGGTGCGCCGGGGCGAGGCAGCCCCCCCGGGACCCCGGTTCCGTGCGTTGTGGCCGCTGCCGGGGCACCTGGCGGTCGGCAGGTGGTGCTCGTGGGTCCCCAGGATGTGTCTGGGTTTTATTTTTGTAATCGCTAGAATCGATAGCTAAGACAGAGTCCTCGAAGCCTCACGACGTTGGCTGGGCCTTTCAAGGAGATATTTCTAGCACATACTGTAGACGGCGGGGGTGGGGGGGAAGGAGCTATTTATTTATACCTGTGACATCAGTTGTCATTAAAATGCGTTCCTGGGTTGACAAGCCCGTGTCTCGTGGGGTGTTGCTTCTTCCGTTCGCCTCTCGGTGTCTGTCCCCGACAAACCTAGCCCTTGCGGAAGAAGTGACCCGCTGGCGGAAGGAAAACACGACCGCCCCCCCCAGAAAAACTTCCTTTCCTCTCCGGACAGACCCAGGAAACCCCCGGGGTCCCTTGCCCGCACCGTCGACGGCGGTGACCTCGAGGGTGCGCGGAACCGCCGGGGCGGCTGACGAAGCACAGCCCGGCGAGCTGGGGCCCGCGAACCGAAACACGGAAGGGCCGCAGCGAGAGGCCGCAAACGTTTGTGGAGATACACGCACGCGTGCACACACACGCACACGCACACGCACAGCAGCCATGCAGGAAGCACTGACCCAGCAGAAGCCCCAACAGGGTTCTGGCGAAGAGGCCGAGGCGGCGGCGGTGCCGTGAGACGGGGAGGGGGACAGGAGCACCGTGGGAGGGCGGGCGGCGCTGCCGCGCGAGCAGACGAGGTAACGTCGTGTCACCGGCTCTCGGCGGGGCGGCCCCCCGTTCGGTCTGGGGGTCCCCGGTCCGGCAGTTACGGCGCCTGCGCTCTCCATGTCTTCGAGGACCGTTATCTGGGATGCACCGTTGCTTCGGGAGCAGTCCAGGGGTTCCTTTGTCCTGTTTCAATGCCCGCGGGTTTCAGGGAGCGAACCCCCGCCCGGCGGCGGCTCTGGGGGGCAGCTCCGGCTCCGTTTTAAAACAGCTCTGTTCATGTTACTTTTTTACACAGGCCAAAAAGGGCACTTCTCACCAGTTCCAGGGTGTTTCCAATGCTGCCAACCCACCTTAGGGTGACCCCCACCTCCCTCGAGGGGGGTGGGGGGTCCATGACCTTCAGTGGAGAACTGCGTGGATGTCGCCCCGGGAAAAAGGTTCCCTTTCGTGTGTCTTGCTTCTGCGTTTTCTTTGTTGCTCTTGGAGGTTCGGTGGTATCGTCGTGGCTATCGGTTAGTTGGGGAAAGAGAGTTTTTTGGTAGAAGATGGTGGTACTTAAGAAAAAAGCTTTATTGAGGTGTAATTCACGTGCTATAAAAACTGACCCAGATAAAGCGTCCGAGTCAGTGGTCGCTGGTGTATTTACAGGGTCGGGCGCCCTCATCCCAGCAGGTACAGAAAGTTCCCATCGCCCCGAAGAAACTCCACTCATATCACACCCACTGCCCGTCTGCCCCCCGAACCCCCACCCCAGGCCAGCAGCGGTCTGCTCCGGTCTCCGTGGCGCTGCCCAGAGGTGCCTGTGTCTGCAGGAGAGATTCCCCTGGGAGTTCCCCGCCACCGCCACAGCACAGTTCTCCCTGGAGACGCGGAGGGGGTCCATACGCTGTGACCGATTTCTTAATCACAGCGCCAGGAGGCCCCTGCCGTCCCGTGGCCGGCTGTGGTGGACGGGGCGGGGGGGTGAAGGGGGGGGATTGGCCTTCACGACCTGCTGTGTGATACCGTGTCCCCCCTAAGTCTCACTCCCGGCCCCGCGAGCCCACCTATTTCTTCCCAAGACTCAGGCTCCAAATGAGGGCGAGGAGACCACGGTTGGGTCCAGGGCTGGGTGGTGACCCTCTGCCCTGAGGTGAACCATAAAAACGGTACTTCTGCGGGCCCCTCCGGTCAGCTGAGACCTGAGTCGGCTCTGAGACCTGAGGCCGCGAGGACAGCGGGAGGAGGGCCGCGAGGACCTCCTCCGCCGCCGGTGGGCGGTGCCCATCAGTTCCTCGCTCACACTGCCGCCGACCGAGGGAGGCGTGTGGTGCACGCGGCCCCTGCCCCTGGTTACAGACGAGGGGACGCGCCCCTTCAAATTCCTCTCCCGGGTCACGCCCGGGCAGGGGCGGGGCGGGACTCGGACCCACGCTCGCGTCTCCGGAGACCACAGCTCAGTTATTGCACCGACACAGGCTTTGCGTCCGTTGCCTTGTGTTAAAAAAATGTAATAAGACAGACCAAAAAAAAAAAAAAGAAAAGAAAAGCAATTCAAAGTTATTGCACAGAACCTGGAGAGTGAAGAAAAGGGGGGGAGGGGGCAATGACGCATTTTGAGAAAGCCCCGGGGCCCCGCTTCCCGGAAATGAAAGCGAAGAGCTCGCCGTCCCCGCCCTCCCTGTCCGGCCTCGGTGCCGCCGTGATTTCTGCTCACGGCCGCGCCCACAGTGTCAAAGGACGCCATTAGAAATACGACGTCTAAATTATTTTCCCAATTTTGAAAGCAGCCCAGGAGCACCGTAAAAAACTTATTAAAACGACCGAGTTCACCTCGCGTGGGCGCCTTGCATCTGTGCGTACACGTTCTTGCGGGGTTCTCTCCCCCGCCGTGGAGAGCAAAGGGCCCGGGTTGACTTTTAAGTGCAATTAACAGGGGGGCTCCCCGACAGCGGGGAGAGCGGCCTGGGTGCGGGGCCGCCCGCGGGAGCATGGGGGGGGCCTCGGGGCAGCGGCTGAGGGGCGAGCACGCAGCCACACACAGCCTCAGGCGTGTCCATCCAGAGGACTACCGCTCGGCCGCACTGATTTCGGCAACAGCAGCACCAGCTTGCCCAGCGAGGCCCCCGGCTGCCCCCTCCCCGGAGGAGCCAGGGTGGGGTCCCTCGGGCAGGGGGGGGTGCGGGAAGCCGATGGGGCAGGTGTCGGGGCCAGGGGCCCGTGCTCAGCCCGGGCTGTGGCTGGTGGTGGAGCATCAGTCCCATCGGCCGATTCTCCCATCGACACTGGGGCACGCGGCAAGCAGACTCGGGGCGAAGACGGGGGTCGGGGTGGGTGGAGGGGAGCCCCGCATCGGCCCCCTGGGGGCGTCGCCGACTCGCACCTCGGAGCTCAGAGTCAGAGCCGGCGGTGGCGCCGGGGCGCTGGGCTGGACAGACAGCGTGGCATCCGTACGAAGGTGGCAGGGAGACGGACGTGACGGTCGGAGGGGCTTCACGGGGCTCACAGGCAGGCGCTGCCCCTGGGGGCGGGCGCCCCGGGCACTTGGCGGCTCTGGGCGATGGGGGGGGGTCCCTCTGGGGAAGAGCCACAGGTGCAGGGGATTGGAGGGGACGGACAGGAAGTCGGGCAGATGGGGGCGGGAGGCACAGGAGCAGTGGTGTCCCGAGGGCTGGACCTGGGCGGAACCCGGGTGCCCCCTTGCAGATGCTCGTCACAGCCTCCCGCGGTGCGGTGGGCACTTGCGCTGCAACAGCTGCTGCAGGGAGGGCGCTGAGCCGGGTCAGCCTCCGACGGGCACGCACACACGTGTCCCAGAGGCCCGCAAAGGCCACTCGTGGGGGGTGGAGGGGGCATGGCTTGTCCCGAGCACAGGACGCCTCAGAGGCCGGGACGGTCTGGATGGCAGAGCGCGAGGACGGGGACAGAGCCCCGTGCCCTGCGCCGGTCTCCACCCGGCATCCTCCCCCAGCCCTTCACAGCGGCGCCCACGGTGGCGGCTCGGCGACGGGTTGGGGCCGTGGGACCGATGGCAGAC